AAAAAAAAAAAATCTTCGCCCCGCAGGGTTTTTCTGGAAACGTTTCTAGGAAGAATGTGCCAGGGTCAAGTCTGTACTGATTTTCATGGTGAATAGATTACATGCTTGCATTCATGTTCACTTCCGAAGCGCTTAGTGTCTTCCTTCCCTTACTTACATATTAACCTCAAATACCCTACGCGGCTTCATCCAAGCTTTACTAGAGGTAGTTAACAATATTGTATTCCCAGGACGCAGGTTCTCTTTCTCCATGCCCTCCAAACCGTTGCTTGCTTTATTTGCAATGCCAGAAAGCCCTTTAAATCGCAGACCGCCGAGCAAAAAGTGTTTGCTGATGTCCTCGCCTCAACAGTGCTGCTAAATACTTGGGAAACCAGTGAATGTTGGGCTATCCCGCTTTGACAAATATTCTAAGTTTAATTGCCAGAAGCCTAGTTAAAGTTATTTGACATACTATTAACCCCTAAGAACAAACTTGCAGTACTAAGATGCTTTCCTCTTTGCTTCAGACTGTCGCCGAATGCTGAGACCCAGGGAGACCTATTTTAAAAACGTGGTTAAACTTTTACTATTGTTGCATGAAAGGGATGATATAGAAAGCGGATTGTGCAGGGCAGAGACTAAAAAGTACTTCTCTGCCAATAAAAATGCACACCCCACCGAATGTGCAGAGCCAAAGAAAACAGAGAAATACGCCAAAGAATACAGCACCTTTAGAGGCATGGACATCCCTAGACTGCTGGAAAAAATATTCTTTTGCTATTCTGATGCTCGATTTCAGAAAAGAAATATTTGGGTTCCGGATGGACTTAATGAAAACAGAAAAATAGAATTGCAAACAACTGGTATGAAGTTGGGGATCTTATGAAATTAGACATATTTCAAGACCCCTGCCCTTATGGATTTCGGGACTAATAGGAGGGAAACTGAAATGTTAAGGAAATAATATTTGGATTTCGCCCCCCTTCTCTTCCCGTTCCTCTGCAGTCCCGTAGAAGTATTTATATATCCGGAGAAAGTTCTATAGTAAATTCTGGAGAACTTCGGTATTTAAATGTCAACATTGATTTGTTTATTTATTGCTTAGCTTATCGTAACTGACTCAATAACAAATCTAATCATGTTGTGCGCAGAGAAAATATTCTCATTATGTATTTCCCCTACATTATAGTTAACTATTTCATTTAGATTCCAGCTGTAAATATCAGTATTATCAAGTAATTACTTTGTAGTGGAGTAAACTAATTTATTAGCATTAATGTTTATATGCCTTTTTCTTATTTTACAAGGGTTAGCATTCACAAATCAAATGCTCTGGACATATCCCTTTAATGAACCCTCTATTCTGGTCTGCTGCAAGAACTTCTTATGCTTGCTCCTTGTTTGGTTGCTGAACTTGAAATTAATGAATTAATCTTCTAGTTTGACATATTTGCTAGAAAGTAGATGGAAAGGGATCGCATGTCGTCAAAACCGCTAGCAGAAGACTGGGTTGTCGTTTAGGGATTGTAAAAGTGTTGGGGGCTTTTCTCTCTGTCTGTCTCTCTTTTTTTTTTTTTTTTTTTCCTTTTTTTTCCCCCCTTTTTATGAGGGGTGGGTGCAAAATCTCTGGTTGGCTCTTTGATTAACGTTATAGTTCTGCTCGCGCTTATCTCCCCCTCCTTTTTTTTTTCTTTCTTCCTTCTTTCTTTCTTTCTGGATGTTGAAAATCCTCTTTTGGTATCCGAACCCTGCTAATTTTTTTCCCCTCTGTCACCCACCTTCCTTCTGTATATGAAAAATCAATGCCYGCACCCTTCTCGCACACAATCCCCCCTCCCTTCCAGCAAAAAAGAATGTATAAGGATTTCAGTGACTTTGAGATAACAAAGGCGCCACCATTGCAAAGCCTCGCCCCGCCTCTGTGTGATGGCAAACAAATTCTTGCACTTGTATTAGGGCTTTTAAGGCTATAATTGAACACGGCGCGTCTAGGAGAACCGAAAACAGTTCTAGACTGACCTGCGGTTTTATAGCACTTTGGCAGTCAACTTCAGCTTGTGTCAGAGCAGACACGACTGAGCTGCCCGACGGTTAATCGCGGGACGCCACCTACTTGGACCCACTGCAGTCTCCCCTCCTCTTGCATTAAATAAATCTCAACCCTTTGGGCACAGGAGTGGGGAACGAGGCTGGCAAAGGTTTGTACGTGGCGATTTGCCGCTCCTCTCCGCTCTCGGGGGCTGTCTCGCCATGCAAGGCTCAGCCTTGCCAGAGGTCGCGGCTGCCTCTGGGAAACAAAGGGAAATTAAGGCAAGGAAGGCGAAAAAAAAAAATGGAGCTTCGGTGCGGAGAGCCTTGTGCCAGAATAGATGTGTATGTGCCTGTGAGCATGGGCATATGCGTGCTTGCACACGTGGAAGTCCTCTCCACGTTTGCATTGCTTGTGCTCTGTGTGTGTGTGCCTCCTCCGAAGAAAAGAAAAGGAAAAAAAAAAGAAAAAAAAAGAAAGAAAAGAGAGACAGAGAGAAAGAAAAAGAAGCAGTAGGTTTGTTCGCTCCCATTTTCCACGCGATGGGACCCCCAAAATGCCTCCTGGTTCCGTCTTCGGGGAGCTGGGGTGGGTAAGGGCGCAGYTCGCCCCAGAGGCACCCGAGGCACAGCCGGTCCCCCGCTTTATTTGCTGTTAAGTGAAACAGAGATAATGCACGCTTAAAGCCCCGGAATGTGTGGGTAATTGCAGGGAGCCTGCTGTTAAGTTGCTGTGTTCAGCACAATTATCAATGTTGATTATTTGGTCTAATSTTGAATTGCTCCTTTAATACAGTAATTGGGACTTCCGCGTTGAGGAAGGGGGAAAATCGAGCCTTCCCGTCGCTAACCCCAGTGAAAACAACATAAACAAAGGGAGGCATTTCATTTTGAGAAGCAAAATGCATTCGTTCCGCCTTGCCGTGTATTTCGGCCGGATTAGAGAGGGTAACGCGGCTAAAAATGTTATGAATTCTGCAGCTCCGCAGCTTGCAAAGGACAAATGCGGCCAAGAGGTGGAGAGAGCCTCGGAGCACATTTACTCACAGCTAAGCTAAACAAAGCGAGGAAAAAGATACATCTCTTCTTTGGATGAATATAAACAAAGCTAGGATGCCTCGATAGCCTCGCTTTTATATATACAGATCGCGTGCAAAGGAGACTGTTTAACTTACTACCGCTGTTCTTTAAAGGTCAAGTTCTATAGTATCTAAATTGTTGTCTTTTTGTGCCGGGTTTTGTCTTAACAATTTTAAGGCTACCTTGCCAAGAGGGTGGGTGCCTGCAATTATCAGAGGAAGCGTGTACAGAAAGGAATTTCTCTYGAGAAGAGCTAATTAAAATATTACACGACTGTTGGGTTTAGTTATTTTAATGCTCGGTACCTATCCAAACGGTAGGAATTGTTAGGACTCGAAAACGAGGAGATATCACAATAATTAGGTGACCGTTTTGATTGACCTACGATTTGACTGCAATATACAAAAGGTTCTTAGAAAAATGTAATTGCAGGGATTTTTCAGCTTTCTTTTTTTCCAAAGAAAAGCACATTATCTTCGCCTTTTCCAATGAAAATAGCGCCATAAGGCTACAATTCTTCGCAAAATGTGCCAAGAATACAACTTCAGAGAAGGATAATTGTTGTTTTGATTTTACATATTTCAACCACAAAAGCTCTTTTCAGGCGTTTGCTATTTTCTGTTTACATTTTTGCCCATTATGGTACTAGATATACGAGCACGCCTGTATTTTTAATTTGTATGTGTATATATGTATTTACCTACCTATGTTACTTTAATATTGTAATGGAAGAAAAAGTGTAGAATGTAGACAACATTTTTCAAATACGAATATACCAAATAATACATGTAGTTGGGGGGGGGTCTTTTTTTTCTTTTTTTTTTTTTTTTTTTCTTTTTTTTTTTTTTCTTTTGTCAACGGCAAGATGAAATCTTATTTTGGGGAATCCATATTGAATAATTATTATTGAAAGTGTGACCCTGAATATGTATAAACAGAAAAAAAAAACAAGACTTTAGTAAGCGTTACTCTTCTTTTTTTTTTTTCTATATGTATCATTGCATTGCATTATGTCATAGGAATGTATTTATCAGAAGGAAAGGTTTCTCTGCGCTAAAGTATTTTAGATTTATATATATATATATATATATATCAATTATCCAAGTCCTTTCCTCTTCCACCCACTCTTTCCTTTTAAATTGCTGATTCGGAAAAGTTTTGGGGAGGGGGATTGCTTTTCTCTCCCTCCTCCCCTTTTTAGCTTGAGCATTAGGATTAAATGCTTACAGACCTAAGGAGATCTAGCCGTC